CATAATTTCATGTTTCATTTTCGTGCCCGCTACGTTCTTGCCATCGGTTAACGACTTGGAGGATTACCCCTGAGAAGGAAACAATTCGGTATTGTAATTTCTGTTCTTTATCGCGAAACGTTAGCGGTAAATACGATGTATTAATTATATATTATTATTTCCATTGGTAGTAGAATAAGCTTGAAAAGGCATCGTTCTGTAATAAATAAGGATGAATTTCAATATACAAATGGTATAAATGTGTATACATTGAAATTGTAGAATAACAGTTAAACAATGTTGACAAATTCATAGCAGACATGTCAATCAAACCGTACCATTAAATCAACTACCTACTATCCACACAGTATCATTAGAGACACAACTAAGACATTAAAAATAGTGGTCGACACATTATTCACTAAATGCAGAAATAAATGTTTAATATTTAGGCGTGCATTTTTCTGTAAAATTCGAACGAACTGTTGGTTCAATTTAATAGTTTTCCACAAGAAATCAGCACATATATATACATTTATACCATGGATAACGTTGTACTCTACGTTGTATTTCTAAGAGATAATAGTATGGCAAAATAATCATCTATAACTGTTTATCTTTTAATTCTCCAAGCTGCAAAGTTCATACTCGTTAGAAAGTAGACACTTCATTAGAAAGTTTTCTACGATAATTCTTCTTCACCTTGTTTTATTAAATCGTTCCATAGCAGCGATTTGTTACGAAGTTGCATTTAATCCATTTTACGAGTTCCCAGAAGATGCAAACGATGGTCGATATAATTGTAAATTTTCTTTCATTTTCTCCTCCGTTCATCTATTTCATCCAGTTTCCCTTCTTCCGCTGCGCTCTACCTTTATGACCAAACGGAGGTTTACGATCGACAGTTACACCGCGTTGCAAAAGATCCACCAGATAGAATTGTTTTCACCGGGGGATAATTTAAACATCCACGATTATTCGAAAAAAGATTGATGTTCATCTGCCGGTCGTATTGCAGATCCTTCCACCTTTTCTCGGTGCTCCGTTTGCGCATCGTAACTTCTGAATTTATTGCCGTTCCAATGACCGAGGTGAAGTAAATGAAGAAAATTAAATAATAGGTTGTTGCAAAACGAGAAACTTTGTTGGGATGCGGGTTGCAATTCTGATTGCACAATTATAACTAGCAATAACATTCTTGTTTATCCATTATGGGAAAAGTATCCCAAATAGAATTTTGTTTGATCATATCTGAAACCCTGTTTTAGTGTTTTTAATGTCTAATTTTGTAAATAATAATTCATTTCGAAACATCGTGTATTTAATATATACGCTACAGTAATATAGTTTTCTCTCTCTTATTAATTCTCCACAATCAAACAAAATCAATTTCGGTATGACAATAATTTTTTCCTCTTCTCATGCCCTTCAACATCTGCAACATCCTTATACACTATTACAGTACGAAATCAAACACTGCAATACATAACATTCACAACATTGCAGAGTCCAAAGAAATTCGGACGTTATGACCAAAGTTCTTTGGACTCTATGACCTCTAAATTTCTATGGACTCTATTCCTGCGAATTTTCTTTGGCATCTATTCCCTCGAAATTTCTTTAGAATCTACTCCCTCCAAACTTCTTTCGACCTTATGAGTTCCAAATTTATCTAGGACCCCATTTCTGATTCACCCAATGAGGAAACGATACGCTCGAGAGGAATCGAATGTCCACGATCCCCGCGCGGGTATAATAAAATATCAATCCCTGTCGGTCGCGAGCAGTCGATAAACTAGGTTGCAATTTTAATTTCGTCAGGGGGGCAAACCGGCAATTGAAGACGAGTGGCGGGGGCTGCGACGTTCATGGAACGACGTGGGATTGTTCGCATGCACTGTAAACCCGTCGCTCGTAAACCTTAATTCGCCGTGAAGGTAGAACACCGCGTCGGTAAAAGGGTACGGGGCGAGCGTTGAGAGACAAAAGAAAAGGCAGATGGACCACGGTAGGATCTATGGTGGCGAGAGAACCGGGCCCGCGTGTAATTATCAGCCGGATCGCTATTCGAATGGATGAATTATATCGCGGTGCCTCGAATGCACACTGGGCTACTGCCCGAGGGCTGCTTGTACGAGGAATTGACACTCGGAGCTATGCAATTATTAATGTCTCATTTGCATTTGGGATAGATCGGGACCATATTATTGGCAGTTTATTCCACACTCCCTTTTTTTTCTTTCGTCCCTCTCTCGCTCTTGCGCGGAATTTGCTCCGGTTTGTGGCACTGTCTTAACGCAGCCTTCGGTCATGTCTCGTGTAGATAGTTGGGCGTAGGCGTTCCTACGTAGGTGTGTATGTTTTTTTGTTTTAGAAATTGCTTGTGATTCAGGTTAGACGTACTTTTTGTAGATTATGTAGTCATCGGTAAATAATAATCGAAACAGAACTAAGCACCCATTTAAAAAAGAAATAGGGCAATGAGTCGCAGGTTATTTCGTATTCATACACCTTGATACATACTTGGTTATTACTTATTAGATACGGATAAAGGTAATGGTCCACGCATTGAAGGCGATATTGATCGTAAAACGAGTCTTGGATGCAGCTTCCGTATAGTACAATACGGTATCGAGTAAATCGTGGTACAACCAAGGAGTTGTTTCTATATAACCATAAAACCACCCAGACAGTTTCAATCTTCGTATACTATGGTTAACATAAAAACAAACTACTTTTTTCTAGGGAATATGATCTATCCTTTCTAGAGAAACATTATTTCTCAACACGATTTTAGACATGGCATACATGGTTCCTTTTTATTTTAACCACAACAACAAATAAGAATATAAAATTTTGAAGTGCTTTTATGGTTATGCCACGCAGTGTATGAAGTTCTCTTATCCCCTTTCCTGTTACATAGAATTTATTTCTCGACTGACGAATCCACTGACTTGCACTACTGGTGATTCTCACAGGCTCGTTACCATCTCGTGTATCAGAGAACGTGCGAAGATGAAGGTATCGTCATTATTATTACGTATGGAAGCCTACGCCTCGGAGGCGTGCAGTGGCACCTTCGTGAAAAATCGAGAGAACCGCGGATCACCTGGTAACCAACACACGTACAGAAAGTACAGAGTTACGTACGATTCGCGTGCGTGAGATATATTCGCCTGTTGCCACGGTGATTTATCCACGCCTTTGGTGATAAAGCATTGCGCAACGGATAGTGTTCTGGGGGCCGAGTGAAAATTGCGAATCAGATAAAGAAAGTAGCGCTTCCCGCTTCCAAGAGGAGAAACACCATAAATCAGCCGGCTGTCCGTGGCCGTGGGGGTATGAGCTTGGCCCCTGAATGAACGCGAACGCACGTTTATTAATTAACCCGGGCTTAGATAAAGTCGCGTAACGGTCCACGGAAGTTATCGGTATCTCGGGTTCCGTGGTATCCTTCTATCTCGAGGCCATTGTTCCGTCCGATGATGCGGTCTGCTCTCTCGATTTTTGCCACCGGATCAACAAATGTACGGATGTGTTACCGCGTTATTCACGGTAATACGGTATCTTATGCTCTTTATCGACGCGATCGATTTTTTTTTCGAGATGGAACGACATGCAGGATCACGCTGATACCGTTGATACGTTTCCTTAAATGGGGTTACGTACCTTGGAGCTGTTAAATAAGAGGGAAACTTAAAAAATTTATTTGTATGTGCAGAATTATTGTTTATTAGAAATACAAAAATACTTAAATATAAAATTTTAAAAACTGGTTTCAGATAAAAACCCACAGAGATATATCTGGTACCATAGATCTGGTGTTTTGATGAAACTGGGTATAATTGAATGACAGCCATTTTTTTCTGTTAATAAATATATATCTCAATATTTCAGAAATTACTAAGGAAATAACATATAATAAGATGTATATGTTGAATTTTTAGTAAACAATAATTCTGCATATAAAAAGAATTTTTTCATTTTTCCTCTTATTAGACAGCTCAAAGATATGTAATCCTTAAATCTCGCTGGATGTTGTAAGGATCACTACTGAACGGATTATGAATATCTACTGTCTGGTTGTTTTGTTTAGTTCTTTTTTGCACAATGGTAGGATTAAAATGCAGGGCAAACAGGTTTAAGAGATGAGGGGGAGACTCAAAATGCCGAACTGATCGACAGGGATATGAGATCAGTATATTCTTCATTTTGAGAGGATTGAGTTAATAATGTTCCTTCTCGGGCATTGCATGCTAATTTTTTTTCCGTATGTTTAATAATAATATCTGAGGATTAGAGATTGTTATAATGGAATTAAATTTATTTATGTGCCTGGACTTTACTAAGGTAGAACTACTAATTATGGTACTACATTTAGAATTATACGGAATTCGTTTTATAATATTAGCAAGAATGTTGAAAATTGTGAGTCGTCCTACTTCAATGGCTAGGGGTTGTAGAAACTATTGTTAATAATTTCACACATATTACAATTACAGAAATTATTTCCGAACTGTAGTGAAATATGTTAAAAACAGAAACGGGACAGTAAGGCAAAGACTGATGAATTTATGATTTCTGCAGTCAGTTATTACTCAGCAAATATGCGAAACAGAACTGCGAGTTGTCGAACACATATAAACCAGTCGTACAACGCGACGGTTGTAAATAACAATGCAAAACGGACAATAGAAGTCTGTAAATAAGCATTCAGCTTCGCTGCTGTACCACTCCACTGTTCAATAATTTTTACTTTGAAAGAAAACAAGTTCGTGCACCGAGGGATTAAATGTTGCACGATAAATGGAGATGGAAAAGAAGATGGTGATTTTAACAGAAAAGCCAGCGATCTAACGACGAATGATATTTCGTTACGTGTAGCAACGGGGCCATCAAGCAACAACGTATCATTGCCTGACTACAGGCGAGTCTAATCCCCTTATAAAATTGTATTATGCAAACGAGGCCCGAGCGCAACGGGAACGGGGACCTAAAGTTGCGATGTGGTAGCATCTTACCTCCGTAAGACTCCGCCAAGGAGGCTCGCGTTTAAGCATTCCGGTGGCGATAGTCGTCTTTGTACCTCGGCTACCGTAACTTTGTACTTGCTGGTGCTGCTTAGTAACGATAATCGTCCTGGAACTGAACAGAACACGTCCGAAGGTTGCGCGTTCCCACTCAGCATCGCCTTCTCGCTCCTGTCTGATGGTTTCATGTCTGGAACAGCGAAAACACAGACTGGCTGTAGCTCAGAATTGTTCAATCGATTGGTTGGATGTCAATTAAAAGGTGGTTCGTGCCAATTCGAAAGACTAGATAATTAAATGAAATTCTTCATAATTAAATAAATTTGAGAGTAGGTCGTCGATCAAATGAATATGAAACAGATTGTTGAAAATTCAATTTTTAACACAGCTCTTATGGGTGTCTTACGATTTCTTACCAGAAGTATAATCTTTTCTTTTATAAAAACTGAAACTGGCAACCAAAAACTAAGTACTGAAAGTATAAATCCTGAGCTTTCTGGTAATTAACTAAATCTTGTACCGTGTCGAACATTCCAGGAAGATATTTGACAATAAAGTAATTCTATTCTGGTGTTCATATCGCACTTACTTATTAATTTATGTACAATTATCTGATATCTTTACGTGAACAATGGTAGAATATGTTCCAATAAATTGTTTTTCCCATACATTGTTATTCTCTTGTTAATTGTCAATACCGTATGCGACGGAACTGATTACCTGACTATGTATACTGCCTAGAGTACTTATTATAAAAAACTTAAACATGCAAATATTCACCGTGCATCATGGGAATTATTCCGTGGAATGATCTACAGTTAATTCGATCCCGTTGATGAAAGGAATGCAATAATCCTCTCAAGATTACAGTACTCAATTCCCGTAAAAGGTCAAAGAGGATCGACTGGCCAGTAAGGAATACCGAAACCGATGGTGTTCTTCGGAAATTACATTATCTCGTCGCTCCTTGCCTCTGTATAGGTGGATAACCGTGATCAGAGTAGCAATATCCATCCCGAAATATTTTAAATTCATCGTGCCCCGGTCCTGTTTTCATTTCTATGCACCCGATAGTCGCGCATTATTGCATCGTTGCTCTGGAATGCTTAATATAAGGGCCTCGGGTGGGGAGGAGATCGAACAAAGCCGTGTTATTACAAGGCGAAATCGATGATGGTCAACTTATACATATAACATGTAAAACTCTTCATCGTTGGGTTCTTCGTGCACGGATGATGAGGTATACATACCTATGGTCTATGGCCCGTTTAGAAGGGAACCGTGCCACAGTGGTCTCAAAATGCGTTTCAACTAACCAAAAGTCAATTTTTGAAAACTTTTTTTGCTGTAAAGTAACAATACTTGAAACCTTAAAAATCCAAAATATTATTCATTTTAGATAATTCTGTAATCAAGGGTGACGTTCTGAAGGCAAAATGTTGAAATTCAAAGTGAAACTAATTATTTTTATTACTAATTATACGACAGTAAATAAAAGATTTTAATTATAGTTTTATTAAGCAGTGTCAAGTTTATAGTAATTTAGACTTTGAGAGGTTTTAAAAAAAATTATTGAATTATAAGAATCAGACTTGTTTCATATGAAAGTTTAAGCAATTGTTAAGAAGAGCAAATTTTAACTGCAACCTCCTGCAACCTTTTGTGTATGTAAATTTTAAGAAATAGAAGCCCGCGGTATTTTGGCGTCTGAATAGTATTCAGGCACGTATACCGCTTGATTGTTATAGCGGCTTGACCTCAGATGTTAGAATTCTTTTTTCTTTGAATATTTGGACAATTTGGAATTAATGTCGGAAATATTATTATATAATAATATAATCATATATAATGAAATAATTGTAATTATAAAATAAATAATATAATGATATTAGATACACTGAATAACTACAAGATATTGCGTTGAAAAAAGTCAATATGTGTGTCTTCTTCATTTTGACCGTGAAAAGCGAGTTTCCAAACAATATATGCATAGTATTGAATCCGTCATCTTGAATTTTGAATTTTTAATGTCAAATTCATTATCAGTGACCACAAAAACCCTTGATTACCAACTTTTAGAAGGTTTCAATGAAATTTTGATTTTTGGTCAGTAAAAACGCGTTTTCAAACCACTGTGCGAAATTCTTCGTTGCCCAAAAAGTATGCACAGCCAATACCCCAGGTTTTTTTTTCGTCGAAACTTAATAATTTCATTACGCCCCTGTAGTTGCAACGATTTCGATTAATATTAAGACTGATCGGAAGGAAAACGAAAGTTCCTCGGATAACTGAAATTTCAGCGGATATTTTGACTCGCCGCGTTATTACTCGCGGGAACGAAATTCTGCCGGCACGGAAATTCGTTCGGTATATTCACCGCGAACGGAGGGGAAGAACTTTTCCATCTGGAAATACCGAAGACTTGAAAGTTCGTTGAAAAACTGGTCCTCCTTCGTTCGCGGGTGTGTGTATATCGTATTAATTCGCGCGGAAGAAAATCTCGCGTGGAATTCCTCGCACGGATCGCCATTTTGTTTTTTTCTTGCTTTCGGTTTCTTTTCAACGGCAAAACCGCCATGAAATTTTATACATCGTATCTATTATGCATACGAGATTGTCGCTTTGTGTGAAAATCGATCGTCGCCGTATCGGCTTGGGCACCACCGTGAAGCGTAGATTTTACTTAACATATTTGTATTCATGAAAATGTAAGACGGAGAAACGTCGACGCACGAGAGAGGGAGAGGAGGGAGGAAGAGAGTGCAAACAAGTTGTCAAGCGGAATCAATCCACATCGGAGGCACGATCGGTCAGGTCAAACGGGTAATAAATTTCTACGCGGACCAAATAGGTCGACGTGGGTTTGTTCCGCGCTTATAAATTGTAATCTCGAGAATGAAGCGGTAGAAAATCGAGTAACGGTAAGCAGGCCGTTCGATAGAGCTGCTCTCGAACAATTTGGCGGTATCGAAAAATTTAAATGGTGGCTGTTTTATTGACAGTTGTTTCAATATAATAAAGGAAAAATTATACAAGAATACAAGAGATGTTCATCTAAAAGTGTCAGGAAGTTTCACTGATACGGCTGATCAAGCTATATAAAATTCGAAGTACGACCTGATAAGCTTGTAAACATTCTATTTATTTATTTAAATTTTGAGTATACAGATTGAATAAGTTATTTTTCTTGCTCAGAGAAATGAAATCTTAAAATAAACAAATCAGTGTATTGTAACATTTTTCGATAGTCGTTAATTTCAGATGGTACCATTTTAGGAAAGGATGACGAGGAAAGAATACTTTGATTAAATCGAAACTGGAGAAGTGTTTGTTTTTCATAGTGTTTAAGATTTTACGAAACTGTAAAGAATATTTATACATTACTTGAAAGAAACTGGACGTAACAGTATTTGAGTTCACAAGACATATCAGGAAGTGCCATTTTAGAAAAGAGGGGACGGAACGAATGAGTTCGAAGTTATGCAACTTTGATATCTTCATCGCGGTTAATGGCACTGGAGAACGAATATCTGTACTAACTAAATTAATGGGAATAACTCATGCCTTCCTTGCGTGAGCCATAACCGAGTAAAACGTGTAATTATCCACGGTTGTTCTAACCTTTCGCCGTGCGAATTGTGAAACCGTCTCACTCATCGATGAGTTCGCTATCGGTTAATCGATCGGTAGTTAATTACAAAAGCATGTATCCGTTAATTCAGCGGGGCCGGGAATGGAGTAAATGGCCCCGTGACATTTTCAACGCGACTTTCTTCATATTACGGTAACCTTAATCGCACAGAATGATAAAAAAATGTCATTAAAAACCAACCTCAGTTATTGACACGCCATCGAAAAATCCATTTAAAACTTCCGGTTGCTTCGACGTTGACATATGAATGTCATATTTTATTATTCAAGGGTAAGAATGAATTGTTACACTAACTACTTAAGTTCCCATTTCATTGAAGAAAGTGTCTCTACTTTGTAGAATTTTTGTGGCTAGTGGTCAGAAGATACCGAATCAATACTATCGATTTCAGTCCGCAAACTATGATACTGTATCGAATAGTATCAAGCTTGTGGGTATCAAGCGTAATCGATACCCCTTAGATACTTCCATGAAAGTATTAATACCTGTTCAATCGAATACTTATATTAATTTGGTAGTGCTATCGAAAACTGATACAACGTACCTAAAACTTCGATACTTTACAATATTTCCCATTGAATACTTTGGTTTCAAATTATTCGAAATCATTCGATCATCAATATGTATCAAAATCGGTCCGATCGTTACTCAAATTGTTTAAAATTAAGCGATTATTACCTTTACTAGCGGTTACATACCTTAGAGCTGTTAAATAAGAGGGAAACTTAAAAAAATTATTTCTATGCGCAGAATTATTGTTTATTCAAAATACAAAAATACTTTAATATAAAATTTAAAAAACTTGTTTCAGACAAAAGCTCCCAAAGATATATTTGGTACAGCAGATGATGTATTGATGAAACGGGTTATAATTAAATCACAGCAATTTTTTTCTGCGACAGATATAGTTCAATTTTTCAGAAATTGCTAAGGAAACAACATATAATAAGATGTATACATTAAATTATTAATAAACAATAATTCTGCATATACAAAAAAATTGTTTAATTTCCCTCTTATTTAACAGCTCAAAGGTATGTAACTCCATAAGCGAATTACCATTGTCACACGCGAAAAGAGTAATAAACTCTCAGATACCGTAGAAAGGAAGTGCTTCAGCCGTAAATAGAAATAAATCATAACGAGCTACGATCTCGTTACAATTATGATTTAATCGTCTGTTCACTGAACAATCTTCCACGAGCAATAAAAAGTACGACGTGTCCTGCGGCGCGAAACGCAACGGTTAGAAAATCGCGCGTCGTTACACGATATTTATCGGACGTGATTACGATCCGTGGTCGTAAATTCTCCGGTATGAGTTCGAAATTTGTTGGCTAATGAGATTTTCAGTCATCTTTCACCTCCGGCCGCAACGGGACCGTATAAAAGCGTCGCGCGTGTATATCCACGGCAACATCCTCGCCACGGCAGTCCCGGGACTGCCGGCGTCTTGTCCCACGACGCGATAACGTCTAGGAAGTCGCCACTAGATAATTTGTCACCGAGCAAACGTGGATATATTACCAGGGGGTCTG